AGGGTTTGAGAAGAGGAAGAGGAGGGAAGGAATGCCTTACACTCTTCTTCACAGACTGGTTCTTTTCCTCATCTAGCATGTCCAGGAGCAAGTGGAACACTTGTGGGCTGCGGATCCCCAGGACACCCTGGCAGAAGCAGAAGGAGAGGGCCTAAGTAGCCAGCCCTAGGAAGATGCCCCATCTATACTCTTTTCCATTCTAGTCCCCTTGTGATGACCCTCTGGCCTGGAGAGAGAGGGACATGTGGCTTCCCAGCTGAGGGATCTCTTTACTTGCTTTTTGGTGCCACTGCATTGGGTTCCAGTGCACATTATTCACCCAGTATAGTCAAGACAGTTTCTGTAATATCAAAGTAACACCCCTCACACCCATCTCCTGTCCCTTATCCCACCCACCTCTAATCTTGAAGAAAAGGTTACTCTGAACTCCTGGTGGGACTGGAATTGTAATATAAACAAGCAAGCAAACAACCTCCCCAAATATTACAGCCATTTCTTCCCCTCAGGAACTCTGCTCAATTGCCTCTTGCCCCTGCCATCAACACATCTGGTCAGAGAAGCAGAGCTGGCCTTACCAGGGAGACGATGGCTTCCTGACGTGCAGTGGCATCTGAGTTCATCAGTTGCCTGTGTAGAAGGAGTGTGTTTTGATCCAATTAATGGGTAGGGAGAAGAAGGCTGGTTATTTCTTATTACAGCCCAGAGCAAGATGGGCATAAGACTGATGAGTGATGCTAATTTCATTAATTTTTCCCTCGTTTCTTAGGTCAGGAGAGGAGCTGGGAGAGGAAAGGCTGGTACTATAATTTGCGAGGGGTGCTAAATGGCAATCGGGACTCACATCTGTCTAGAACTTTCCCTTTTACAAGTCTCTTTCATGTCCTCCTCTTAATTTGAGCTTGATAGCAACCCTGAGTGGTAGGTGTTATCAGCCCCTTTTTACAGGTGAAGAGAAGCCCAGGGGTCAAAGAATGACTTGGCCAGGGCCACAGGCGAGAGCTGAGACCTGGTATCAGGTTCTTAGCTCTCTGATCCTCTGACCCATAGTTTAGGATTTGGTCCTGGCAGCTCCCATTCCAAGCCACTCACGCCTCCACCAAGTTCATCATCATAGGCTTCATCTTGAGCTCTTCCATCGTTTCAGCCACAGCTTGCCTCATGGCCTAAAGAAGGATTAAGAATGGACAACAAAGAGAAGGAAAGCAGGGGTATATCCTTAACTGCTTCACAAATGAAGCATTGAATGTTTACTTTGTGCTACATACAGTCTTTGCCTGGAGGAGCTCATGGTCTGGTGGGGGAAGCAGACAAGTGAATAGGCAATTACACCACTGTGATAAATGTTACAACTGAACTAAGTGCAGGGTGCACATAGAAGTTTTCCCTAACTCAGTCTGGGTACCAAGATTTCCTGGAGGAGGTGATTGATGCCTCCTTCTGAAATCCGAAGGGTGAGTGGGAGTTAACCAGGGAGAGGACTGGGGGCAAGTGATTTTCCGGACAGAGGGGAGAACATATTTAATAGAAACCTGGAGGCAAGAGGGAGTGCATAGCTTAGGGAACATAAAATAGTTCAGTTTAGCTGGGTGAACAAACTGGGACTCTTCAAAGTGGGGAACTCTGAGTAATTACGCTGAGACAGCAAGTATAAATCAGGACAGGGTCATCCTAAACATAGCTGGTGTGTAGCTCTGAGTGAGAGAGTGATGAGAGATGAAGCTAGAGAGGTAAGCAGACCTTGAGTGGTGAGGGCAATATAAGACATCCTGAAGGCATTAGGGAGTTACTGAAAATTTTATGCAGAGGTGAGACACAACTGGATTTACATTTTAGAAAAATACCTTTAGAAATCCTGTGGCTGGTTTTGTAGTGAGTTATTACAAAGATAAAAGCAAGGGAATACAGAGGAAGGCAGCGATGATTTTGTTTATGGTGATTTGGAAAAGCTTCCCATAGGATTTGTTGTTGGGACTTGTCTTGAAGCGATCATATTTTAATAGGCCAAAGGAGAGAGGAGTTACTTATCAGTGGTGGTAAATAGCATGAGGCAGTTTTTCACCTGAATAGCATGAGGAGGGAGGGATGACTCAGGGCATTTTAAGCTGAGAGAACTGCCTCAGTTTAAAATGCCCTGAGTTATCCCTCCCTCCTCATGTTAAAGGGAAGGTGGTTGAAAACATGGGCTGTATTAGGGAAACGGAGAGTGAGTTGGGATGAATGTGATACTTTGTGGGGCAGTGTGGTAGGAGTCAAGCCAGGGGAGGTCCTCAGAGAAGGGAGATGAGACAGCTTTGGGCTGCCTGGGCTTAGGGACTTCGGTCTTACTTACGAAAAAGGGTTCATTATATAGCTTCTTGCTGAGCAGGTCAAATACAAGTGCCTCCAGACCCTGTGTTTGGATCTGTTCCAGCCCAATGGTCTTGAGCATCTGGGTGGCTTCTAAGCGGTGCTGGGGGGAAGGGGAGGGAGAAGCATGAAAGATAGACTTCCTTTCTCGTCCTCTAACCCTGTCTTAGTGCTAGAGTAGGAAGGGGGTAGTAGGTGGCCTTAGGGCTTACCTCAAGGACACTGGAATGGCACAATTGGTGTAGGATGGCTCTGATGACTGTGGCTGAGTGCACACGCATCATCTTGACCAGCATCCTAAGTGCCTATGGGGGTTGGCAGGGTGGTTGGGGTGTACAGGGCCAAGATGCATCTGGATGGTCAGGCAGACTTGAGGGCTGAGCCTAGAACTTATGGGTAACAGGTGGGGTCCTTTTTCCTGCCTCTTGGCCTCTTGAATAAGCATAAGTTCATATATGCACATACATAAATGAATACTCATACAAACCAAATATACACAGACACATGTACACTTATGTCCACATGACTCCATACTCATGCACACACACATTGACAGACAGAAGACCTGCATTGTTCTCTGCTGACGCTTCTTTGCTATGGGATAAGGAAGACAGGATCCAGACCTTATGGAAATCAGTACTGGCCTCTGTTTCCCCAGTGCTCCGCAGGGAGTCCAGCCTCCTGCCCTTCGCACCTTTATCCTCTGGGTCATGGGCCCTTGACACAGGCACTGCAGCAAGAATTCTTGGGCTGTGTTGTTGCAGGGTCTCAGGAAACCCAAGCACAGGGCTGCCTCCACTGCTGCTTCATTTGATGATTTTTGTATCAGCATCTGCAGCACAGGCACCAACTTCCCTTCGTCCCCGACTTGAGTCCTCTGAGGGGAAGACAGGAGGCAAAATGGGCAGGGGTGCATCTTCAGCCAGGCTTTGTTAAGAGGGCAATTTACTGCTGCTTCCAGACCATTCTCCCTCCTCCCTAAAATGAATCTCATGTCAAATCAGATTATTTTACCTACTTCCCCTTATTTTTGCTCTCATCTATTTGCTCCTAGGTCATATCATCTCATTTCTCTATGACTTTATCTTGTGGATGGATCAATGTCACTCTAACACTTCTGCTGTCTTAATTCCTGGCGTTAAAAATATATATACATGTCATTGATCCAGGTCCTTTCCTCCAATAACCTTGTCCTCCACTCTATGTCAGCCACTCATTCCCCCAGAGAGACTATCATTACATCTCCATGATCTCCATTTCATGGATCGCATTCTCTGACCATCGCCTCCTATTTTTCCAGCTCGCTTCCCAATGCCATCAATTGTTGGACTCCACAAGGACTAACAGCCATTGAGCACTGTTTCACGGTTCCTCCCCTTCTTCCCTCTTTACCCAGTTTAAATTCTATGGTCCTGTTATAATCACTTCCCTGCCTCACTCAGCAACTTTACCCCCTCGCTTCATTTTATTCAACTCTTCATTTGGTGCCTGTACTTCCTGGAGAAAAAAACATTTAAGATGACTGATCTTGTTTTAAATGTATGGACACAAACCTCATGTAGACCCTTCATGCTGCCTACTAATCATACTGTTTTTCTCTGGGCAACTCTTCCACCTTCTCAATTCACACCCTTTCTTCTGGTGCCTCTAACACTTCTTCCTCCATTCTTCCTCTCAGCTGATGACCTTGCTTCCTACTTTACCGAACAAATAAAACAACTAGAAAAAAAGTATCATAGACACCTACCACCACTTCTATCCAACTTTCAATGCCTGCACCCATATGTTCTTCCTTTCCACTTGTTACTATGGCCTGTGACCATCTATCTAAAGTCAATCTCTCCATTCGTGTGTTAAATCTCATTTCTTCTCACCTACTAAAGAACATTATTGCACAACTCTTTCCACTGCCTTCAAAATTATTATTTTTCTAATTACTGGATCATTACCCCATAGCAAGAAACATGCTGTTATTTTTCTTTTTTCTAGAATCTATCCTTGGTGCCAACTACAACTCTTTCCAGCAAAAGTTGGAAAGTTGTGTCTTCTTGATGTGTATCTAATTTCTTCTCTCCCATTCTCTCTTAAACCCATTCCAGTCAGGCCTTCACCCCCACCACTGCACCAAGATAATTCTTAAGATACTATTAATGAGTCCCACATTGTTAAAATTCATGTATCAATTCTCCATTCTTATTTTATTTATTTATTTATTTATTTTAGGTCAGGCAACCTTTGGTTGACCTCACAGATTGCAATGACCTTGTCAGTTTACAATCCCTTATTTTTTATTTTTTATGCTGACAGCACCTGATCTTCCTAGGTGGTTTCCTATCCGAGTACTAACCAGGCCCGATCCTGCTTAGCTTCCAAGATCAGACGAGACTGGGCTTGTTCAGGGTGGCATGGCCATAGTCAGTTCTTATTTTATAGGGTTGATTTGTCTCCTTTCCTTGATAGATGTTCTTCACTTGATTTTCAGAATACCACACTCTTGGTTGCCTTCCTACTTATTGGCCACTTCTCGGTATTTACTGGTTCTTCATCTTCTCTCTGATCTCTTAACATCGAGGTGCCCCAAGGCTTGATTCTTGTTTTTTTTCTTAGTGATCTCATCTAGTCGAATGATATTAAATACTATCTATATGCTGACAACTCATATTTTTTTTCCCCTCTAGTTCAGATTTCTTTTCTAAACTCCAAATTGTTTATCTAACTTTTTACTTGCTGTCTCCCTTGGTCCAATAGACATCTCAAACATAATTTGTCCAAACCTATTCCACCTGCAGCTTTCTCCATCTTAGTTGGTGACTCTATCCTTTAGTTGCTACGCCAAAAACCTGGCTTCATCCTTGTTTCCACACTGTCTTTTATAGCTCACATTCAACTTGTCAATTTTACTTTTATATATCCAGAATTTAATAACTTCTTACCCACTTCACTGCAATCACCACGGTCCAAGCCACCACTATATCTCACCAGGATTGTTTCAGTAGCCCCTAATTTGGTCTCTGCTTCTACTCTTGCCTCCCTACCCCATCTTTTCTAAACATAGCTGTCAGAGTGAACCTTTTGAAATGTAAGTTAGATCATGTCACTGTCTTGCTCGGAAACCTCTAATGGCTCCCTATTTCACTCAGAATAAAAGCCCAAGTACTTAAAGTCGTCCAGAAAGCCACATATGATCTAGTCTCCTGTTAACTTTTTTGACCTAACTTCATTCCCTGCTGCTTTCTCTGTTTCCACTCCGCTTCAGCTACACTGGCCTCCTTGCTGTTCCTTGACAATGCCAAGCATACTCTTGCATTAGGTATTTGCATTGATTGGTCCTTCTGCAGGGAATGCCTTCTCTCAGGTATCTGCAAGGCACACATCATCAAATGACACCTAAATGAGGTCTTCCCTCTCATCCATGTTTAAAGTTGCA